GTCTAGTCAGAGAGCTGGTTATGGGTGTGTAACCTCATCGCTCTCGTTCTCTCTTACGTAATCGCTGCCTAGTTTTTCTTACAAGAGGTGCTTTTCAAGGCTGGAACCTGTAGCGGTGTCTCGGAGCTGGCTTTCTCCTTCACTTCCTCGAGAAAGGCTTCAAAATTTTGCTATATTGTGGTTGGAACATTTTATTTATTCTTTCTTGCTTTTATACTGATCAAAATTGCAATGTTTTACATACACTCGAATTACGATTTTTTTCCTCCCGCTCCTCCCCTTCCTCTTTGATAGCAGTGCTCAGAAAAATCGCTACGGGATTGGAGTTGACAGTGATCGGAAAGCCTTTTTCAAGCTATTTCCTAAGTGCCGACTCATTCAAGTCATTTATGGCTGAGAAATTCAACCCTAAACTCTGGCCCACTACCGTATACCTTTAAAGTACTCGAGGATGCTGATTGGTCTGTTCGAAATGAGCACCGTCTGGGCGAGAGCTTAGATTTCAATCTCACTGTCACTATCCCCAAACGAACCTGCAGTAGGCCAAAATCCAAGCACCAGCTTGCACAATTTATTCATAGCTAAAATATTCAAATATAAACTTCAGCCCATTACCGTAAACCCTTTACAGTACTCCCGTACGCTGATTGGTCCGCTCGAAACGAGAACGGTCTGGGTTCAGGATCCTCTCGTCTTCCACTCACCTTCCCATAATCCCTATGAGTCCTCGCGAATAAATTTTCCATTCATGACCCCCTTCTACGAATTTGATCGTATTCTCTCTCTCTTCCCCCCCCCCCCCTCCCCTCTCACCGCCGTCTGATTGCGCTTCTGTCGTCAACTCGATTACAACGACTCGTTTGCCGTATTATACGTCCGACTGCTTTACGGCACTCCCGATGACGTTCTTGAATTAGGCAGTCCCGGTTCGTCCTTGATATAAATTCGATTTTGCAAGAGTCCTTGGGCTTTCCTTGGGCCGGGCAGAGTTTTTTCGTGCAGTAGCTCGTAATATTTGAGCAATTTTGAAGTGCAGCTCGTACCCCAACAGCGAAAAGTTTTATATGTAGAGTTTAGAGGTCTTTCTGTTGTTCCTAGTTGCAATTACAGATCCGCGTTTCTTCTTCTTTTATATCAAAAAGTCTAACTGCCGACGAGCGACAGTTACCCAAACTCTAGACATCTTGAATCTCAACCTTTCACCTTTCGATGCAGAATTTTGCGCCAATATTCGGCGGAAAAAATAATTTTTGGTAAATTTTGAGCATTTTTGTGCTACATTTATAGTTAAGTGAATTATTAAAAGAAACTGTTTCAAGCATCTTGTGAGACTTAAACAAACTTATTGTTTTGCTAATGTCACAACTAATCAACTCACGACATGGGCCTGAGTAGACGAGAGGGAAAGGGAGAGGATGAAGGGGTGGGGGGGGGGGGGAGAAGCGAAGAAGTGAATTGTGAAAAGGTTTCTAGGTACGAACCATTTTCTAGTGTAGCCATTAAGTTTCAAGTTGAAGTAGTAGTTTCTCAGTTCACTCACCAATTATAATAAATCAGCTTTTGAGTCACCTGATATTATAAACCGTTTTGTTAATAGCTTTGGGGCTTTTTACGTTTCAATGTGGAGAAAACAGTGAACTCTAAGTAATGATTCACATAATAAGTTTTATATTTAGGATCATAGATATTTTTTATTTATTCAGTGCGTCAAAATGCACCTAAACACAGGCGATCAGGATGTGATTAAACAAAATTTTGAAATCACACTACGTAAAAAAAACGACGGTGGATTATTGAATTGATCTCATATAACTCACCATGATTATTTATCATTTGTGTTATTTTATGCTATCGGTAACTACTTGTAATATTTTCTGAACTTTTATATGTTTATTATATCTTTACGGTCTGGTATATCCCGTATCTTCCTTTCGGAAATCATAGTCATCGACAGGTTTTTTTCAATGCTTGTTATCCTCCTGCACTTGCACCTAAACTTTTCTGGCAAGCCATCGTTAAGTCTCAAAAGGTAGGGATTACTTTAGTAATCGATGTCCCACTGTTGCAAACAGGTTCTTTGTTCTTTTGAATCGATAATCATTGAATGTAAAGAGAAGGGGAACGAATAGAATCTGAATTGTTCTCTCTTTATCTGCAATGCCCTTTCAATCCTCGGCATTCCACTTGTGAGTCAGCCGCCCAGTCGCGCTGAGCAACCGGTTTCACCCTCTCATAATGTTTTTTTTTCTCTACGGCAATGACTATACTTCAAATACATCCTTTCACTGGAATGCTGCTTTCATCGTATCGATCCGGTCTTCTGCTTGGACGAGTTCGCGTCATTCTGGAGTGGTTGACATCATTTCATGCGGATTATAAGTATTATCTAGGAGATGTTGCTCAAGAGCATCTTGATTACACTCTAGCTGAGATTTACTTCTATTTTTAATTGCCAATGCTATAGATTTTACCCTCCAATGCTTCTCTTAACTAATGGATTGCCATTTTCTCATTTTGCAGGTTTTTGCAAAGCTTGGATAGAAATTTTCGGAGCACTTTTGTTAGGAAGAACACAGACAACAATAACGCCGATTTCCCTCGAAGATTAAATTTTATATAGATGTTGAAACGCAAAATTTTTGCCGATGTATTAATTTTGAAAAATTTGTAATTCTTTTCGCTATCTTGACGGATTTTGGTGATCCTTCTCTCTTTCTAGAGCTCTTCTTTCTAATAAAATTACAAAGAAGCAAATCCGTCAAGATAGCGAAAAGTTATAAATTTATAAAAATTAAACGGCAAAATTTTTGGGACAACCAAAGATTGTCGGATTTTTTGTTAAAATTTTTTTGCTCGCCATAAACTTCAAATATCATAGGAACAAGTGAAGAAGATTGCCAACTTTTGTTAAAAATGTCAACTCATAGGGGAGAAAAATTAGTCAAGCAATAGGATGCAGCTTTCAGATCATTTTAGCAAGAATTAGCTAATATGTTACTAATAATAATATACTATGATATAATGATATAATTATAATAATAATGCTTATATGTTATGTTATGCAATTTTTTATCCTTTATAACTTTATAGTGGTCTCTAATATGCATTATGTGGCTCGCTATCATTACTACACTTTGATTCAACGGAATTGGCGGCTGGAAGGCGACCGCTTTCACCCGCAACGCAGTCTGCGTCTCTCTCGCGAGCGCGCTCTCTGATCATTCCTTAGCATCGAAAAGGTCTTGAAGCCCCGCCTTCAACCGCCTATCCGTTAAATCAAAGGGCATAAATATACAGGGATGGATGGGGCAGCTTCATTCTTTTTCAAAGGTTGAATTTGAGCAGTAGTTGGGGTTTTAGGGAGAAGTAGAACGCAAAATTTTTTTGTAAGCACAAAATGCTTCCCAATGCAATTTCTTTCACACCAAATCTTTGGACAAGACTCGCTTTTCGTTAGAATTCTTATGAAGGACGTCACCTCCTGTGCCTACCTCTTCGTATAATTTCTTTCATGTTATGCAAGTGGAACCAGCTTGGTAACCAGTTACCAAGGGTGTGCTACCAAGTTGAAGGAAATGTTTTTCACCGTGTAATCGTAACACATGTCATCGTTTCGTACATATTACCCATGCTCAGCAAGTTAGTGTTTGTAAAAAAAGCTTTTTTGCCATTTTTCTCGAAACATTTGACTTGATTTCTACTCAGTTCTTGCTTGATTTTTTGGCTGTGGAGCTGGCTTTTGCAGTTTTAATTCGTGAAAAAATTGGGCAACTGGGCAGAAACATTCATTGTTATTGCTGTCATGTCCCTTGCAAAATGAATCATTTTGCTAAATGTCATGGTCAAAATGCCAACTTCGAATTACGGTGACATTTTCTTGAATATCACGTTGACTAATAATATTTTTATTCATAGTCCATAGCTTGTACTGGTTTTAGAAGTTCCCTGTTTTTTTTTCTTATCTGTTTACTCATCATCAGATCTCATAGAGTGATTGATGAAGAGATGAGATAGCATTCAATATAATTTCTTATTTGGCGGCTTTTTTGAAACGTTTTGGGAACCACCTAAATTACGCTCTGATTATGATGATATAGCGTTTTTTGAAAGCTAAAATTTGTGGTTCTAAAGAAATTGGAATAATTTTATGAAAGTCTATGAGAGTTATGCTAACACTTGTTTGATAAGTTTTTTGTTCAATAGGCTACCATATTTTCGATTTTGATTTCGTGACTTGTTTGGGTTCATACGGTCCATACTAGCTAAAAAATATTTGTCCAGCTTCTGCACTCCCCTCTGGTATCCGTGATCCTAAACAAAGTCGATATTTGCTCGTTTTGTTCCGATAGTCATTCACATAGTCACACATACATACATAATCTCTAGTATATTTGACAGTTAATGTAATTGCGGTGCTGGCAACACTTGCGCGTGAAAAATGGCTGTAGGTTGCAGTAACTGTACATCTGCGTTTTACGGTTATTTTTTCCCGCCTAAGTGTTGTTCCATTATGAGCATGGCGATTTTTCCCGCGTAAATGCTGTCGGAACCGCAACTGCAGAATTTCCGCCTAAAATCTGCAAGACTCTACATTACACGTATTTTTCACTTTTTGTTGTTTTATCTTCTCTGTAAATATTTTCCAAGCTATGATAATCGGGTTTGTACTCAATTATTTGTCGCAAATCGCTAGAGCGATGTAAAAGCATCAATTCTCCTTAGAGTGAACTAGCTGCGCGACTGACTGCTTTTGTTTTTGATTTGGGAAAACGGTCTGTGTAAAGTGAGTGTGGGGCGCCCGCTCTTCTCTTCTCCTTCCCCCCCCCCCCCCCCCCACGCCTTTCATGATACCAGTTTTCACGGCCAGCTACTGTCAACATTACAAAATCATGCTTAGCAGATGCTTTCTCCTCCGTTTCTCGTCTTTCTATCTATTCCTCCTCCTCCTCCTTTTCTTCTAAATTTTTGATGTCTGAAGAATTCAACGAGTTTTGTTTCAGAAGCGTTCTATGATGGGCGCGAAACAGTCGACACACGGAGATAATCAAGCCTACGAAGGTATGTTTACCCATAAAATATAATTATTTTTCTTCATAGTTGTTGATTTTTCAAATGTATCGCTTTATATCGTGACTGCACATAACTATTTCATCAGCCCTTCTTGTCAGTTTCCAAATGCTATCTGTTTCCGGTGGACTTGCGGGCTACTCCTTGGTGGAGTGGCAAAGGTAAACAGAGGAAACTGTACCTAATATACTGATCTACTTACCTTGCTTATTTCTGAATCTTTTTGTCTTTCGTTTTCTTCACTTTGCATCTTATCTTTTCGCCTAGATATCAACTACTTAGTCATTTGATTGTAGCGAATAACAAGATTTTGAGAGAAATGAGCTTTTACACGGCATAAAAATCAAATTGATTGTCAAAAATTTCCAGTGAGAAAGCGAGTCGTCTGTCTTTTATATCGATAAAAATCGGTCGTAGAATCTCACTCGTTTGCATTCTAGGCTTTTAATCATAAAACTGATGTTTTTCAACATATAATCTTTTCAAAATTAGGAGTTTTCCTGTTTGCGAGAAATTGAAAATAGACCCTTTGCGAATTTTGACAAACGAAGGCGCTTCATGAAATTTCTATGAGAACTTATCTTGTTAAGAATTGAAAACAGAACAAATAAGGGATTTGGTTTTTTCAATTTCGAATCCGAGAAACTCAGAAATGCTTTGGATTCTTTCTATTGTTACAAAAAAGTGTTGTAGAAAAGTGTTCAAAATGGCTGGTGCGAGAAAAATGTCGCAAAATAAAATGTTCTCGAAGCTGATCGAAAACTTCATAACTTGGCTCTTAAAAGGGAAGGAAGGTTGGTCGAAGTGGCCTTTTAGATGTGATGTACACTTGTAGAGCTTGGAACGCTGACTCCAAATCCACATTTGTTATCTGCTGCGGGTTCTGGGCTAGGAGTTATAAAGGTTTTTGTGAGTAAAAATTTCAATGCAAAATTACTATAAAATCAGTCGTAACCTTTTCCTAGCGTTCAAATGAGGCAGCAGCGAGTCGGTATATTTTAAACAAGAATATTTGTTGCACTGAGTGACTCGATTACCAGTTAAGCCCTAGAAAAAAATGTTACGACAAATTTTACACTAGTCTTGCAATCAACTTTTTAATCACAAAAACCTTCATAACTCCTCGCCCAGAATCTCACAGCAGATAACGAAGGCAGATTTGGAATCAGCGCTCCAAGCCCTACAAGATAGTATGCATCCCTTTTCAAAAGGCCACTTTGATCAACCTTCCTTTCCTTGTTAGGCTTAGAATTATTTATTTATTTATTTATTTATTTATTTTACACGAAAAGTGTGCCAAAAATTCACAAAAAAATTCACAAAACAATTCTTGAAACATAAAAACATCGACACAAATAAAATTATTGGTCTTAAGTTTGCTCTTGTCCATAAGTTCGTCTTCCGCCGCGGTATCAGGTCGTTCTCCTTCTCTAGAAGGCGAGGTTTCCTTGCTGAGATCCTAGTCCCAAACCTAGACGCGAGTACGGCTGAAATTTACACCAGGGCTTGAATAACTAACTTGACCCGAGGTGGACTTAACCGTCGGGAACCCTGGGCGTGAAGGAAAGGGGGGACCTCAAGACTGATGCTCGCCAACTTCCGAAATCCTCAAACGCTACTCGTGCGAAAAGACTCGAGTGTTGCATGTGATATGATGGTAGAGCAAAAATTCTTTCTCATTTACTGAATTACTTGAAGAAACCGTGATGGAAAGTTACAACACAGCTGACTCACTTTTTTCTGCTCTCGTGCGTAGATTGAGGGAGCTCACACTCTCGAAATTCTTGTTGTTTGTAGATTTTGTGAGCTGTTACACTTTTCTTGGAATTTTTCGGCAAGACACATTCCTTCTGTTATAGTACAACTGTCATTTTTTTCTTTGCCAGACTTGTGTCTAAAGAATCACACGTATCGAAGTTCTCAGTTGCTTTTGTGAGCTGTATACCTTCCTTGAGAGTATGGTCAGCCAATACATTTTATCAACTAAATCACATAATCTCTTCGCTTTGACATTTGATACGACTAATGAGACTTCTCGACACATTGCTTGATCAATTTTCTTTTTCAGCCAACAGTAATGTACAATTTTGTTGATTTTAACTGTTAACATTCATTACAAAACTATTAAATCAATGTGAATAGATGGCATCTATTCGATTGCAGTTCGTATATTCGTTCTTTTTACATCATGTGTATGAACAGAGCAGTTTTCGCACTTTCATTGCGTTTTCGCAGCACTTCAGAACGAATTACCGCATTGTTATGATTGAAATAATCGTTTGCACTTTTGCCGTAGACGGGGACTATTGATTCTAGAAGATTGTTGACGAAGAATATATTTCGTTCTTATGAAGAAGTGTATGAAATGCTAATTGTAATGTCCCGTTGTTCTCTTTCTTTTATGTTCTTTTTTCCTTCATTTTACATGGTAAAAAAACTGCAAACGAAACAAAAGTGTAGTATATCATTTTTTGATTGAAAAAATCATCATGAAGTAATTTTCAAAAGGCTGAAGACTTAAGAGGGATCATAATTGTTATACGCTTAATTTTCTTAGTTTCTATGATTCACAAAAGGAAATCCCAAACTTGGACTTACTACTACTTTTTTTAATTCTTTCATTCTGTAATCTCCCGGACGGCTGAGGATTTTCAGGAAAGAAGAAATATTGTAGCTTATGAACTGGTATTTTTAGAAACACTGCCGTTTATTTTTGTTTTTTTTTTTGCAAAATTGTTATCCGCATTTTCAGCGATTTTCCATATCAAAGGCTCAAATTGTACAAGCTAGAAATTTTTTAGAGAGCTGCTAGCTATTAACCGTTTATAGAGATGTTCCACGAAATTTCACTTTTCATAAGTTTGTATTTCTCAGGGAACAACTTGTTACTCCGTATCTTGATAACTTTGAAAGGATAGACTTCTTGTTTCTATTCAGCTGGAGATTTTTTGGAACATAAATTGTTTTCTACTAGTTTTCAAATGAAAAAGTTCCTGTTTTTTTGGAGCATAAATTGTTTTCTACTAGTTTTCAGATGAAAAAGTTCCTGTTTTGCGTCATAATGAAATTTCGGAGCAAAAATCTCTGGTTTGATCGACATTATAGGTTTGAATCATTCGTATCTCAACGTTATTAGCCTAAATCATTGCCATTTTTTGCTCTAGTGCCCATTTAATTTCCATTTCGACATATGTTCGATTTATTTGCGTGGGAATCTGCCTACATCCTCATCATTCTTGTCATCATCGTTGCGAACATCCTTGTCTTATAATCACATCATTTCTTTATCATGATGTCATCGCTCAACGTGTGGTAATAAATTTCTGTCGATTAATTATGTAGGCGGAATGGGAAGTGCGTCGATGTTTTTTTATGAGCAGGCTTTATCAGAATTTTGCCTCTAGCATATCGATATTTTTTCGCTAAATATCTGTTTCAGCACGAATTCGAGCCGTTTTTAATTTCTTTTCTCTTCGAATCGGCGAAAATTCAAAGCTTAACCAAGATAGGCTGGTCCATCTATACATATTTGGTATTTTTTTGCTTGATCGTCGATTTACACTGTCTATTTTAGGGGAACCCAAAAATAATGGTGAAATTGGTGAAATTTGATTAAAGCCTATCAAATAACAATTTTTATATTTTTTGTCTTACAGTTTTTGAATTTTATAGGAACATTTCTCAGTTATGTAGAGCTGATTTAGCATGATTACTACAAGCATTCATTTTCTGAATTTCATCTTTGTTCAAATCTCCTGTTATTCTCGAACTTTTCCTTTTGGTTTCATCAAATTTTTGTTTGAATCTGTGGATCGAAAATATCAGTTTTCAAAAGTTATTCCTGTTTTGATCTTCTGAAATTTAAGAAATTTTCTGGAAACCAGGCATTTTTCTGCAATTCAGAATTTCGAGTGTGAGCGGGTGGCATGTCGTCAGCACCCCCTCCCACCTATGTACACGTGTATTCTATTCTGTTTTCGTCCTTCCTTGAAATCGATCGTTGCTCCCCCTCCCACCTCTCCCCCCCCCCCCCCCCCATACTTCTCCACATCTGTCTCTTTACCCAGCTGTCATCGTCATCGCTATGCTTTCTGTTGATGCACATACACACGCTAACCTTTGCTTTGGATATTTGCAGAGAGGAATGTGCTGACGTATTATCTTGGAGTGAACTCCTTTTTTATTAAAAGGGAGGCAAAGATAGCTGCGGTGGCTGGCCTCTTCAATTATGCGACCTGTTACTTGCTGTTCCATTTTTCTTAATCTTTTTGATTTCTTTTAATATTGACGAATCAAAAACGGAGTAGATATAGTTGTTCTAAACCCTGATAGGGCAAATTACTGTCAACAAGCTGGAGTCAGTTTTGGGTCCTGCTTATATCTCCTGTAAGGCTGTGGAGAGCTGCCCGTGTCAGCGCCGTGCTAAAGTCATATCCGAAAGTCGATCGATAAGTAGGAACTGTGACTGGATGGCACCCGCACGGCACTGGCACTGGTTAAACTCCCACTCAATGAGTGGTGAGATTCCGATGCTATATCATAGCGAGGCCTCTGACTAAATAATCGCCCAAGTCTCGCTGCAAAAGGCGAACTTAAAGCGAGAAATTCCCTTTAGAAAGTAGAAACGGCCAAGATAGCTCCGTCCTCCAGTGTGAATGGTCTGAAAGTAATGAGCTTGAATGTGAGCTACAGGGAAGATAGAAAAGTCGAAAATCTGATAATCGTATTAAAGGGCGGATTTCAGATACAATAGCCCAACATTCGACGCTATCTTCAGTTCACCCGCGTTGGTGGGCGGAGCGATCCTCGTCGCTTGTGCCTTCTAGAGCGCTTTTCTCGCTTTGGAATTCATCTTGTGCAGCGGGACTTGGGCGATTACTTAGTTAGGAGGTCCGCTATCATATGGCATCAAGATCTCATCACTCGGAGTTTGAGTGGGTGGTGTATTTAAAGGGGTTCGACTTCTTGACTTTGCTGGTTCGTTAGCACCG